CTCTACAATAGGGGAATCTATTTTCTTCTTCCACTCTTGCGGGGATTTCAAGGACGAAACTCGAGAGTCGCTCAAGGATAATTGTTTCTTTTCTAAGTATGACAAGTACGATATTGGTCTGGTGTTGCCGTTCTTCCACTTGAATTCGACCTCATTAAGCAATATTCTTAGTCCAGAAACCAAGAGGATGGCCATAGGAATATTCATCAGCATTAATTTGCTTGTGTCTGTAGTTTATCAATATAAGAGTAATGATCAACTTCATGATAAGAACAGTCAGAAGAATAGTATACCCACATATGAGCATCATTTGGAATCATGCAAGAAATTATTTGAATACTGCGTGGCTCGTGTAACTTCACCTAGTTTAAAATAACAAAAAAAAGGAAAAAAAAAAAAGGAGAGAATCATATTTTTTGGATCACTAACTAAGCTATAATAATATCAAAGAAAAAACACGTAAAAATGGTCACAACTCAGTCCTTGAATCATATATTTTACATGTATCCATAATACTTCCGCAAAGTTTAACTAAAACCACTACCAATCACCCAAATCATTTGAATTACGATTGCCACAAGTAACTTAAATTTAATAATGACGCATGTAAAATGAGAAATTGCACTCAATCCTTGCATAAATTAAGGTACGAAATTAAAAGATCAGATATTCACGATTTCATGATTGTAATTTGATTTCTAACTTGGATAGTATTTGAGGGAGAGAGAAAGAAAAAGAGAGAGAGATTGTTTACGAGTTAAGAAGTAAGTGACGGCAAATATACAGAGAATCCACCAAACAGTTCGAAGCTTGGCTTCTTGGATCAGATCCTGTAGATCATCCATAACGCTCTTCATTATTCTCTAAAATTGATCTCAGTTGATCCCAACAAATCCAAGAAAACAAATTGCGCACGACTGCGTGGAAGTTTTGAAGAGAAAATTCCTGATTCTCTCCCACGAGATCATCAGAAATTTTCTCTCCTTTCTTTTCCTTCTGCCCCTTCACGTTGCTACGTACAGAAAGGTCCATTGTTGTGCTATCTTGGGGACGATGGAGAAAAACACGGGGCAAAGTAGGGGTGCAATTTGAAAGGGATACACTTTATTTGCAACAACACTATGCGTATCTCGCCTGTGGCAACTGGCAAGTAATGCTAAAATTTAGGGGGAGAAAATGGAGGAAGTGAGTGGGGACTGGCTAATGTTGCTCAAGCTTTCTTCCTTATGTCACAATAAGAATGAACACAAAAATATACTATTCCATCATTTGCACATCTTATGTTTATGATATTTAAAATTATAATATGCATATCACATTTCATTAATTTTATTGTTAGTAAACATGTAAGATATAAATATAAACTATGTAACTTATAATCTAAATCACTATATTGACTTCAATAATATAATTTTTTGCAAATTTGAGTGATTATGAACAATTAATTAAGTAAAAATATTAAAATTATTATTGTAGCAATAATAAGCGGAATTTAAAGTGGTTTGATTATGATAAAAGAGAATAACCAATTTTAATAAAAAATAGTTAATGAATTGCTAATAATAGTAATTATTTTAAGTAAATTGTTTTCGAAAAGTATAATTTTTTCATATATTTTGCTTAAAATAAATAAAATGCAAAGGTTTTTTTTTTCCATAATAGCTATTAGTTAGTATTAGCTATTATGTAATAAAATAAATAAAAAAATATAATTATTTGATTAATGCAAAATCTAACAAATCTTTCCAAAATTAGTTGACAAAAGTATTAGATTAAATCTATCTATTACTATATAATAGAGAGAAGAAAAAAATTCAAAAATAGTATGTAAGTTTCTCCCTCTCTTTTTCGTTTTTTACCAATAAAGGATTTTTTGTTTTTTGAAAATTTTTTACAAATCCCGCCTAAGTTTTCAATTTCTTTTGTGGCTGATTTTTAATGATCCGATTTATATGCGGATGAAACGATTTATATGCGGATTTAATTTAGTTCCCTGATTTTGTGCGGCTAAATAAATCCCAACATATTTGTGCCCATTTCCATATTTAATTATAATAATATTTGTTCAATTCAATCTCAAAGTAGATTTCGTATATTTGCCCACTGTGAATTGTTTTCCTATTTCAAAATGCATTAACAAAATATCCGGTTAAATATATATTTATATTCTCCAAGCCTATTCTTTGGAACATTATTCCAAAAAAACTCTCCCAAATTATTTAATTGTTTGTAACATTATTCCTAAAAGTCTGCCAATTTGCAAATGAAATAAATTTTGTCCAACAATATCGACCAAGACGTTTTTATAACAATAGGAATTTTAAATCATTGATATTTCACATGTTCATACAATAATGTACCGCATAACCATAGTGGGAGAATAATTTAAATTCACAAACATACCATATGATACACCTCCTTCAATAAAAAGATATAATACAACATTCCTCAAACAATAGAAATCTATCTACTGTTAACAATACAGCATGATTCTATTTCCACGAGCATTTTTTCAAATAAAATAAATTGATTTTAAAAAATTGGATTAATTAATAATTGGAAACAAAATAAAACATCTTCCGACTTTCAATTTTATTTAACATACTACAAGAATACAACATGATTCTATATCTTTCAAATACAATAAATCACATCATATCATATTAGGAAATAAAATAAAACAATTTTTAAAAAATTGGATTCATTAATAATTGAAAATAAAAAATACGTTTTCCAATTTTCTCAATTTATTCAACATACTACTTGCACAATACGTTTTTGAAACAATTTTATTCATTAATGGATACATGAAAAGAATCCTATATAATATGAATTCTTCATATGATTTTTGTACAACCAAATACATTCCCATACTATTCAATCACTTCATATAATCTATAGTAATATAAAGAGGTAGTTTGAAAAAATATTTTTATAGTAAATTTTACTAAAAAATAAATTATTTTACTTACTATTAGTAGAAATTTTGAAAAAAAAAATACATGTAAATTTTTGGGAATCAAAATTTAATTGAAATATCCCAAAACAATTAGAGATTCTTATGGTAAGAAATTTGCATATTTTTATACCAATATTTAATTCATTTTAAATATTAATCCCATATGAATCTTTTTATTGGTAATAAATTTGAAGATTCTTATGCCAAAAAATTGAGATTTTGAATTGAGATATCCCAACAATTAAGGATTTTTTTTTCCATTCAGATTAATGTTATAAATCAAACAAAAAATTATTCCGAGAATAACGGATGTTATACTAGATATTGATAAACTTCAATCCTCCATAAATTATTTATATTTATGAATTTTGTGTGTAAATAACTAAATATATTGATTTGCTTTTCGTAAATCTATTACTAAATAATAGAGAGAGAGAGGGAGAGAGAGAGAGAGAGATTTACTTGCCATATTATTGAAATTCCCGCTTAAAATTTTCAAAGTTACTATTCACAATATTTATTTTGAATTAGTTTAAATGAAGGATGTAAAGTTTGGAGGGAAAATATGTTTGGCGGGAAAATAAGTACAATTACAATTAATATTTTGTCAACATTAATATATACTAGTAGTCAATTTTGTGAATGTGCACATATGCATATAAAATGTAAAATATTATATACATAAATTATATGTGATACGGGATACCACACCGGGTTAACCGGACCGATGAAACCAAATAGCTAGACCGGATTAACCCAATAGCTCGAGCCACGATCAGAGATCGACTTGAAGGCAAGGACCAGCCAAACGGTAACCTGAAGGGAGCAACTGACTTCATGAGACGAACTGATACCGAGGTCGACCTAACGGACCTGTTTCAACCTCAAGAGCAACAGGGGAGCTGTAGAAGTAGATGTTCTACCTAACGTACGTTCTACCTGGTGACGTGGACCTGGTCTCATGAACAAGACAAAAAGGCATCTAACTCGGGGATAGAGCCGTAGGAAATTGGACCACGTGTCGCAACGGGATTGGATTATTTGCACACCTGACAAAGTCTGACTGCCTGCAGCACTGTGCACTGGACAGGCATCAGGGTCAACTCTGCGGGCAGACTTGGAGAGCAATACGCCACACCCCTATATAAAAGGGTGTGGTAGATTAGTTACATTTTTACATTCTCTACACACTCTCATATATTTTGTTATCGTTCCATGCTTTGGAATGTTGTTTGTATATTAATTTTTTGCTTTGGAATTATGCTAGGTATAGACATAAATAATTTTTTTCAAACTTGGTAAGCGTACATTTAATTTTAATTTTTTTTTCTCTTAGTACAAATTTCCTTCTTAATTTGCGCAAGTTACAATCTTACCATCTTATAATTTTCTTCCATATTTCTCTCCTAAATTACGATTTAGTATTTACAAATCATTTTTTGCACTGTCTATTCCTCTTTTTTTTTTTCATTAATTAGTCAATAAATATTTTTAAATAAAATTTTTATTTAGCAATAATTTTTATAATATATTTTTTAGCTCTAACACCCAGTTATTTTGAAAACAAACGAATATCAAATGTGTTAAATAATCAAGGACAGTTATTAAAGAAAAATGAACCACTAAGGTAATCAAGTATTATAACTTTATATACGCTAAAAATCCTCACAATCATCATTTATGTAAAGAGATAGATAATTATAAGTCCAGAAATGCGAAAAAAACTCACTATCATCATTATGCAAAGAGACGAAGTGACCACCTATTTTAGAACCTCGTTACGAAAATGAAGCCTCACCACTTACATATCCGGGTTTGAATTTGCACTGACCTTCCAAATGTAATGGTCCTAATAAACTCCTTTCCTTCAAGTATTAACCTCCATATTAGCCTCATTCATTCATCTTCCAAGGAACGGCCTCTTTCATCTTTTTCTTGCCTTTGCATGACTCTGCTGCTATAAGCAGCCTTGGGCTTGTCCCACTATATACAGAGTCATCAATATCATCATCAACAAAAAACATAAAAAATAAAAATAAAAATGATGGTAATATTTTATCTCTTCCCATTTTTATTATCTTTTTCCGGCATCAACGGACAACTCGAGGTTCACCACCACCACCACCACCTTTCGTCCAACATCCTCGGACTCGAAACCAATATCGACGTCAATTTCTCATTCCCGAATCCCCGACTGAAGAGCGCTTACGTGGCATTACACGCATGGAAAAAGGCTATATATTCGGACCCATCCAATTTTACCGGAAATTGGGTGGGGCCCGATGTTTGCTCATACAATGGTGTGTTTTGCGCGAACGCTCTCGATGATGTCAGCCTCACTGTCGTTGCCGGCATTGACCTCAATCACGCAGACATAGCCGGCCACCTTCCTCGTGAGATCGAGTATTTGGTGGACATTAGTCTCCTCCACCTCAACTCGAACCGCTTTTGCGGAATAATCCCCGAAGGCATAAAAAAGCTCAAACTTCTCTACGAGCTCGACGTGAGCAACAACCGTTTCGTGGGCCCTTTCCCGAGGCCCGTTCTCGAGCTTCCCGAGTTGAAATACCTCGACCTGAGGTTCAACGATTTCGAAGGGGAATTGCCGTGCGAGCTTTTTGACAAGCCGCTCGACGCTATTTTCCTCAACGACAATCGTTTTCACTCGAACATCCCGGAGAACATCGGCAACTCGCCGGCCTCGGTGGTGGTGATAGCCAACAACAACCTCACGGGTTGCATCCCGACAAGCATCGGGAACATGGCCGGAAAACTAGACGAATTGATCTTCTCCGGGAATAATCTCTCCGGATGCTTGCCGGAGGAGATCACGCTCCTCAACACGACGACGGTTTTGGACGTAAGTGATAACAGCTTCTTCGGGGATTTACCCGTCGGCTTGGAGTATTTGCAAAGCCTGGAGGTCGTGAATATTGGGAGCAATAGATTTAGGAGCAAGGTGCCCGACACGATTTGCACGTTGCCGAGTTTGAAGAATTTTACTTTCTCGTTTAATTATTTCGATGCCAAGGATGAGGAGTGTGATCCGAGTGCGTTGGCGGGGGTCGTTTTTTATGACGAGGAGAATTGTTTGGCAGGGGAGAAAAAGCAGAGGTCGGAAAATGAGTGTGGGTCGGAATTGAGCAAGAAAGTGGATTGTAGCAAGGCAGGATGCAGGAAGGGTGAGAATGGGAGCTCGCCAAAGCCCAGGCCTCCGAATGGGTCGCCAGGACCAAAAAAGCCTCCAACAATGTCTGAGCCACCAAAGGTATCTCCTTCACCAAAGACGACTCCAGTCCCAGCGTCACCTGATCAGCCAGTGGTGCAGCCTCCCAAGGCTTCTACAAAGCCACCACATTCTGATGCTCCAACTTCACACGCACAAGCTCCTAAGGTGGTTGTACCTTTGCCACCAAAGGCACTAGCTCCTACAACAAGTGTACCACCTCCTCCAACCCCAAAGGCACAACCTCCGCCTCAGGCTGATGTACCTTCCATCCCCAAGGAACAACTTCCTAAGCCTTCTGTACCTCAAACTCCAAAAGTACAACCTCCTAAGGCTACTATACCATCACCCACACCCAAGGCACAACCTCCAAATCCTAACATACCATCTCCAAAAGCTCAACCTCCTAAGACTAACGTACCTTCACCTTGGGCGCCAAAGGCACAACCTCCAAATCCTAATGTACCATCAATTCCAAAAGCACAACCTCCTAAGACTGACGTACCTTCACCTTGGGCGCCAAAGGCACAACCTCCAAATCCTAATATACCATCAATTCCAAAAGCACAACCTCCAAAGACTAATGTACCTTCACCTTGGGCGCCAAAAGCACAACCTCCAAATCCTAATGTACCATCAATTCCAAAAGCACAACCTCCAAAGGTTATTTTTGTACCACAAGCGCCAAAGGCACAACCTCCAAAAGCCAATGTACCACTGGCACCAAAAGTACAACTGACACCAAAGGTACAAGCTCCACCACCAAGGGCATTGGTTCCACCATTTATAGCTAGACCACCATCTCCGACTCCAAAAACAGTTCAACCCAATTCTCCATCACCCATAAAGTCAGTCACTTCACCACCACCATCGCCCATTTTCTCACAACCACCACCATCACACTTTCATTCACCACAACCATCACCATCACCAGTCGAACACTCATCTCCACCACCATCAATTAAATCTCCGACTTTTTCACCACCACCACGTATCCACTCTCCACCACCACCAGTTAACTCTCCGCCACCACCACGTGTCCACTCTCCACCACCACCATAACTCTCCACCACCACCGCCACGTGTCCACTCTCCGCCACCACCAATTAACTCTCCACCACCACCAGTTCAGTCTCCGCCACCTCCAGTCTTCTCACCACCACCACCATCGCCATTATCACCACCTCCTTATGTTTTTCCTCCCATGGTAATCCCACCTATCTTAGGCGCCCACTACGCATCTCCACCGCCACCAGCTATTCCAGGCTATTAATTAATTAATTAACAAGTCTTACATTTTTTTATCTCTTATATGTACTCCTTATTGTCATTAATATGAGTTATGACATCAGAGGAATCAAAGCCACTTAATTTGGGTGTTTCATTTTGCCAATTTTTTTATGAAGTGCAAACTAGTTACAACCCCCATTGTTTATGGAGCCATGTAATATCATTACTCACACCAATATAATAAAAAAATCTCATAAAGACAAATTTTGATTAATGATGTTCGTTTATTTGTTTCTTTCTGCTATTATAATCATTACCTAGAGACGTTCGATAATATTCCAACTTAAACACCAAATTTAAGTCCATCTACCAAATTCCAATTTCCAAAACAAAATTGGTTCCATAGAATGGAAAAATTCTATCTTAGGACCTAGATTATACTAAGAGTGACAGATTAAGATACAAACTTTCTTATCTTACACCATGAAATAATGCCTTCTTTCATGAAATTAAGAAATGTTTCGGGCATGTTGAGTCTTGTGTATGTTCATATAGCACCTTTAAGTAGATTAAATAGAGATTTCTCCTGGGATATTCATGCAGCTTTGTTTGTTTATAGCTCCTTAAACAAAAATATGACTGGAATTATTCTTACATAATCCTGGGTTGAAACGTTTTAAACAAAACAATGGTTAATACACATGTGTATTGGAGAGTCCGGAGAAATTAGTTTTCACACAATACAATATATGTTTATACTGTTTATAGTTAATTAATACCTAAAAGTACACTCCATTGAGTTTAGCATGGTGTTCTAACAATAATGCTAAGGAGTCAACTGTTGGCTCAGTTATAGAGCCAACAGCCAATGAGACAGCTCAATGTGAGACTGTCCCACATTGTACCCGTAACCATACCGGACGAGCCACCTGTAAGCTGTTCGCCCGGTTTTAGCGTCTATTTTACCAGTTTAAACAAATATTTAATTAATTTGTTTATATAATATAAATAATTATAATTAAAACCAACTTTATTAAATATTAAATTAATTAAAATCTAATAACAATGTAAACATATTAAAATTAAATGTGAAACTTTCAACTTATATAAACAAATTTTATTAAAAATATATTAATAAACATTTATTTTAAAAAATCGGTTATAAACCAGTATTTTGACTGGTATTTTGATAGATATTTTTTTTTGTATAAAATCGGTATAAACAGGTATTTTGACTACAATAATATTTAGAGGTTAACCATATCGGCCGATACAATAACCGTATTGAAAACATTGGTGTAACTATTATTGCTTCGATATATATGTTCATTTTTTTTATAATGTTGATCAATGGGTTTTCTCGAAGTTATACGTATTTTTAATTTTCGCAAATACAAATTGACTGATTAATTATTCACTTTGCTTCGAGCACTGTTCTTAAAATTGACTTAGGTATGATTGAGTATTCACTTTGCTTCGAGCATTGTTCTTAAAATTGACTTGGACGCCACGCTTTTCGTGTAGGCGGCCACTGGAGACGCTCGAACGAGTAAATGGCATCTAGACGTACTAGGCGGCGCCTAAATGGGCTAGGCTGTTGCGATATTAGTCATGTCTAAGTGCCTATATTTTTCGTTTAATAAAATTTTAAATATATTTTTTAAATAATAACATGTATTTAGATGCTATGCATTAAATATACATTAATTATATGAAATAACTATTACTACTGAATTATTTATTTATATAAAAAAAAATAAAGTGGAAAAAAATAAAAAAGAAATAAAAGAAGTGGAAAAAAATCAAAAGCACGTATTCTCAGAATACGTTTAACAGAAAAACGTATTCTGAGAATGCGTGTTCCTTAAAAACAATTAATTAAGGTGATTAACGTAATTAAATTAATTAAAATAGGCTAAAACGTATTACCGAAATACGTTTTTCGGATAAAATATTTAAAATTAATATTTTTAATTTTAAAAAACTTATTTTTTTGGAAAATAATATTTGGAAAAATAGAACGTATTCTCAAACTACGTTTTTTAACCAAATTTGCCCCAAATTGATTTCGCCCTAATTTTATCCCCAAATCGATTTTGACCTAATTTTACACAGTTGAAAAACGTATTCCCAAAATACGTTTTTTAACCTAATTTTGCCCCAAATTCATTTCGCCCTAATTTTATCCCCAAATCAATTTTGCCCTAATTTTTCACAGTACAAAAACGTATTTTGAAAATACGTTTTACTGTGCAAATACAGCAATTCACAAAAACAAAATTACAAAAACACACCTGTTAATCGAGATCGATTCCACAACCAAATATAAATTCACAAAACCCATATCAACCATGTCAAAGAAACAATAATGAAGCACAATAATTCACTTTCCAAATATAAAAATCCAAACAAGTTCAAATATAATTACACATAAATCCACGAAAGAAAAAAATAAATATATAGGTCTACAAAATGTCTCCGAATACAACACAACTAACTAGGAGTGTATTGATTCGTAGGGTTGCGCGGTCGGTTGCTAATCCGACGCTGTGGTGGTTGTCCAGAAGACGATGCTGTGGGCGTGGTAGGTTCTACTTCTTCTTCTACAGCTGAGTAATTCAGTTTTTTAAGAAATCAGAAATTTGACTTAACAAAAAATCACAAAACAAAAATAAAATTATATTTTTGTTAACTAAAAGATGTTTACCTTGTTCTTGTTGTTCCTCAGGCCCGGCGTCGGCAACTGGTTCGCGGTGACGTCGTCTTCTACCTCCACGAATATGGGGAGGAGGTTGATGCCTCGCTCGGTGTGACTGCGTCCTCTGGGGTTGGACGTAGCTCTCTTGTCATAAAACTTGGCTTGACGACGTCCCTTGACCGATCTCTCCGCCTCCGACAGTCAGAGATGTGTAGAGAAGGCTCTTGGCATATTGGATTGCCGCCTGCATCTCCGGATGGGCTGTATGATATAGATGCTCAACATTGGATAGCACGTTATAAGCCCCCTCCATGCCGCTAGCCTGAAAATTTAATTCAAAGTAATTTTTATGAAACGCAAAAAATAAAATAATAATAGAAAAAAAAAAACACACACACACAAATTATAAACACTTACATCGCACTTCCAATGCTCGGCAAGTGGCTGATAGCCTCCGTCTTGTTGTACCACCGGGTACTTAGCAGGGTCACTGATTAGTCTCACAGTCCTGCTGTGAAACCAATCAAGGTAGCCCTCGCCAGGCTGTACGAATGACTCCACACGCTCATCTGGGAGGACATTTTGGTGTCGTTCGACCCAAACATTCCCAAGCTGGGAATGAAAGTCCACCCAATCATATACCCCCCTCCCGGTCATTCCCTGGCCTCGGTGGTGTGTCTCCCAGTCGACCTCACCCGTAATGATCGGAGTGTCGGGGATGGACTGATGACACCCGAACTGACGGAGGACTCTACCCGGCTCGTGGGTTTCACAGATGTCCCAACAGAACATCCAGCCCCTATACATCCAGAGGCTTGAATGTTCTGTACACTGGCCCGGGAGAGCATTAGCATTCAGGAGGTCTTCATACGGCATCCAATCGAACTGTAAAAAACAAAAAAAAAATAATAATAATTTCGTAAGTTATTAAAAGATAAAACACATAAAACAAAAAATAAATAACAATCAATAATATTTAATCATAATCTTACATCCGTCTCTCTTAGCCCTGTCAGTTGATCCCGGACAGCGGCTGTTCCCGTTACTATGTGTTTCGTGTCCTTCCGTCCCACCCACCTTAAAAATCACAGAAAAAAAAAACATCAGAAATTGTAATTAGAAAATTGATAATTGAAATAATAAAATTATAAAATATATAAATAAATATCATTACCTTCCACCTAAAGGACAACCAATGACTGTTTGAAATCTCGTAGCCTCCTTCATTCTCGGGCGAAGCCGAGGGATACGTTCCCATGCCCAAACCTAAAGATATAGCCATATTCATTTGTTATTAAATATTAGTCTAAATTTAAAAAAAAAAAAAATGAATTTTGAAATAACAATTAATTAAATGTACCTGAATCAATTGGACACAGCTCTTGATCCAGCCTTCTCCGGTCTTGTAGCTCGTGCACAGCGCTCTATACACTGCGGCCAGTAGCGCCGACCCCCAGCTGTACTCCTTGATCTTATCGATGTCGCGCAAGAGCTGGGTCCAGTACAAGTTGACTCCACAGGCCCTCTGATCGGGAAAGAAGAACGATCCAAGGCACCAGAGGATAAGCGCCCTCGCCCTCTCTTCGTAGGTCGATATATCCTCTCCATCTTGCAGCACTCTGTTGCATTCGTTTTCCAACCTCGAGTGCTTCAGATACTGGCCCACAATTCCCCAAGTTTTGGGGTTGGCTGTCGGGTCGTCTGCTGCCTGAGAGTGATTTATATATATTAAAAATCAAACAATGGATTATACATAAACAAACAAAAAATAAATAAAAAAAAAATGTGTTAAAAAATTTACCTGGGGGTCGAAGCCTAGAAGGTCCACACACTCGTCTCGCCATTGCTGGTTTACCCAATCTACAGTCTCTCCCCAGCAAGGCTTTCCATCGACCGGGAGACCAAACAGGACTTGTACGTCCTGGAGCGTGATTGTGGCCTCCCCGAAATCAAAATGGAAGGTGTGCGTCTCCGGTCGCCACCTTTCGACCAGACAGGTAATTAGGCTGTTGTCGGTCTGGACTCTGCCCATCCGAAACAACGGCCCAAAACCCGTCCTATCGATCACCGCTAAAACCGCCGGATGTTGTCTGTCCAACACCTTCCAAAATTCAGTGTCGTTACGGCAGTTTTT